CCTAAAGGATATCCTATTATAAATAGTGTTTCAAAAGCCCTTGCTTCACTTCACCAACTTAATCCAGGTCATATCCTAAAGGATATCCTATTATAAATAGTGTTTCAACCACTTCAATATTTGTTATATCCCAGCCCTGGTATTAGACGAAAGACCTCGTCGGCACTGGATAACCAGTTCTGATACACTCTTCCTTACTTTCATTCACAAGTTCTTATTAATATTATATTAAGAGTGTAAGATCAGTATTTCACCAGTCAACAATTTACATGTTATATCATTCGGTATGTATAACCCTAATGTTTTAGTGTAGGGTTTTGTTTGTTTATATTACCTTTATAGCACAGCCACATTGGGCTATCTGCTATGTCCAGCTCTGGGAATCGAACCCCGAATTTTAGAGTTACAAGTCCGTAAACTTACCGCTGTCCCATCAGGAAAACTTTAGTGTATGGATAAAGTACCCAGTTTTAATACAAGTGTATGGACAAAGTACCCAGTTTTAATATTTAGTGTATGGACAAAGTACCTAGTTTTAATATTTAGCGTATGGATAAAGTACCCAGTTTTAATACAAGTGTATGGACAAAGTACCCAGTTTTAATATTTAGTGTATGGACAAAGTACCTAGTTTTAATATTTAGTGTATGGACAAAGTACCCAGTTTTAATACAAGTGTATTTGTTAGTAACTCTTTTCCTATTTTGAGTTTTAAACTTGGACGCCTTGTATTCTTTTTTTGTTCCCTAACCTTTCGGGAAAACTTTCCACTTTTCAAAATAGACACCTTTCTTCTCACGCTAAGATATGAAAAAACAGAATAACAGGGAAGGTATTCCACAGTTTAGACTAAACCTTAATGCTATCTTAATTGCTACACTTAATTACCATCCTGGTCGTTTCTGTTTATGACCTATAAAAAAGTTAACCCTAACTTTAACCCTAGTTATTAGTACTGGAGTTTAGATAGCACACTTCATTATCATCCTGGTCGTTTCTGTTTATAACCTATAACGATAAAAAAGTTAACCCTAACTTTAACCCTAGTTATTAG